CCACTGGCAAGATGTACGCCATGGACTCCCGCGTGTGATGGGCAGCAGTACCTCCCGCACCCGGCCCCGCTGTGGGATGCTCTCCCCATTAAAGCACCATCGCCTACACTGGGACATCTCTGCAATTGCTTTCAGGCTCTGTTTGCAGGGTCCACACGAGCTGGAGCATCAGCGGCTGCAAAAAAGCAAGGGTGCTGCAGAAGTCACCCGCAGAGGAGGGTTTTTTTCTTTTCCCATTTCCAGCCAGGTTTCATAAAAATAAAGCCCAGGAAAGTGTTGCTTTCAAAAAAGACACTTCCCCAAGTCCCCTGGGGAAGCTGTTGGGACACTGAGGGAAGAATTTAGTGGAAAGCCTTTTCTGCACAGAGCAACACTGACTCCACGTGGCTGGTGGCCCTGGTCGCTCACACACCCGGCTGCTGGAAGTTGCCCCTGCGCTTGGAAGTGGCAGCACAAGGTTTGTAGCTAAAAACGGGGTACAGCTAATGGCCTGGAGCATTAATTAACATTACCACGGGGTGATCATTGGAGGAACTGGGTCAGTTTGAAGCCTAATGGAGTTGCTCTACCTGCAAAGCTGGGTTTTGAAGTCCACATGAAATGGGAATTCTGTTTTCCAAGTGAATGATCATCTTTCTTCACTTACAAACCATTATAAAAACAAACCAGAATCCAAAAATACCATCATCTCCCCCCAAAATTGATGACCGCTTAGTTTTTGTCCTTAATCCCTCGCTTCTTACCCCGAGGTCAGCACACAAACTGTGCAGAAAGCTCCCTGGCACGGGCTTTGCAGCCCCAAAAGGCAGCAGATCAAGCCCACGGCCCGAGCAGACATTACAGCTGGTCCCTGCAACGGAACAGACGTGCAGTCACTTCTGTAGCCCAGGCAGGCTGCAACACACCCGCAGCCCAAACCCGAGGGGCTGCAAGGGCCCTTCCGTGACATCATTTCTAGTCTCACCCACAGCAGAAAGAAACCTCTTGCTTTCTTGCACAGCTCCCCGCTGTGGGTGCTGCACAGAAACACCACTGGCCGACTGCTCCCATGCTGCAGGATACAGCAAGTCTGTCACTGCTATTAGCACAGGGTAATTTATTAAATGACTTTTTTTTTTTTTTTTTTTTTTTGGAAAGGCTAATTTTTCCTCAGGGACCTAAAAAAAACAAAACAAAAAAACCCCCAAAAAACCAAAAGGAAGCTGCACAATGGAAATAAAGAGCACGACTGACAGGCTGGGTGGAACAGCAGGACAGCGGTGACCCAAAGGATGGATGGCTGACGCAGCTAGAGGGGTTAGAGTGCGAGCAACAGCCCCGGGGCAGATGGGGGAGCAATTACAAAGAGCAGCATTTGCATGACAGCGAGGTGGGGCTCAGGCTCCTTCACCCCACATGACAGCAGAGCCACCACAGGGACACAAGGAGCCCACACCTGAAAACAGCTCAAACCACCACCGAGCAGCAATCTGGGGTCTCCAACGTGCAGCTGCTGTTGGATGCTCTGGATTTCAAACCCAGCCAGGAACCTGCTTTTCCCCCGCTTTCCCCTCAATTCCCATCCCATGCACCAGCAGCTCTCGCAGTGACTCAGCTGAGAGACATCACCCCTGTGATGTACCAAGTCAAGAACAGCAGTTGTGCTCTGCACAGCTCCAGCAGCTACTTTTAGGGGTTTGGTGTTTGGGGCTTTTTTTTCCCCCCTCCCTTTTCAGCACCCTCCCACCATCTCAGTTTTGTGACAGCCATATTCCAGCAGAGACACAGCTGAGCTGCTCCAGTTCAATTACTTTTTTTTTTTAAATTTTTATGCATTTTACCCCAACTGTCTGTATGTTGAAGAAATAAAGCAGTCTTTTTTTTCCCCAAAAAAACCTTTTAGGGACACTGAATTTCAACCCTTTTACATCCGTAAATAGGTTTAAAACGACCAAGCACACATGGTAATTCTTTAAGACCTTTATTAACAGATGCTTGCAGTTTGACTTGAAAAAATCAGGTGTATATTTCATACAAATTAAAAATGAGGTTCTTAAAAATCTCAACTTGACCAGATATGAAACAATTTAAAAACCTTTAAAGGTATATTGAGAAAAAACAGGCTTTTAAAAAACGTGTTTATCGTTTCCAAAAGGAGACTTCTTTAGGTAAAAATAATAAAAACCCCATGCTGCATAGATAATGCAGATAGTTCTAGTAATCTGGTCAACAGCAAAAAGCAAGCACTTAAGGTCTTCAGTTCCAATTCTTTTGTTCATTTCTTATTGCTGGAATTTCATTTTCTTTTCTTCTTCATTTCTTAAGTCTTTTCTTTGATGACTAAACTGAAAAAGAGAACAAAGAGGATGATCAGACAGGGGTCAGAGGCTTACACAGGTGTTTTGTCCACCACACCCCCACCACCAGCCCACTCCCAGTGACCAAAACGGGCACAGGACTACAGAAGGAGAAGACACTAAATCTGAACGCAAGGGAGTCCCGCCTGCGCCAGTGGCAGGGGCCTCCCGGGGAGCACTGCTCACACCGGGCCCTGCGGACACACAGCTGGAGAACCCTGAGCAACCCCCAGGAAGGCCTGAGGGCTGCTGAAGATCTCCAGAAGGTGGCTGAAGAGCAATTTCTACCTGTGCCTAACAGGCAGCATGGCTTCAGCAAGCCACTGCCCAGACCACAGAAACCACAACTCTCATTCTCCAATATCATCAACAGACACAAAGAGCAACCCAGCGTCCTCTTGGGGTTTCTCAAAGCCTGTGATGTTAAGAATTCATTTGGTTTGTGTTATCCATTAAGATGAACACCAGGATAAAACAGGTTCACAAGCGCACAGAAAACGCTGCGGTGAGGCCTGAAGAGGCATCAAACCATCCAACTGCATGAGGAATCCCGCGGCACCCCAGCCCTTGAAGAACAAGTCCCTCAGCACTCAGAGCTGGGAGGCGTCTGCGGCTACTGCCAGCACCAAGCTACTTGCCACAGCCAGCTCCTGCATTCCCTGCTCATCCTGTTAACATCACCATTAATGTCACCACTCCCTATTGCTCCCACCAGAGCCTAAATGCCTCTTTCTCTTTGCCTGCCCTCCAGGCACGGAGCAAGAGGAAACAGAGGAGAGAGAGAAAGAACCAACAAGGAGGTGCCAGAAAAAAGCAGAGCAGGTAGAAAGACCTAGCGATGAAAATACTGCCAAATTAGCAAAACTGGCCATCAGAAGACAGCACCAAGCAAGCACCAAACCTACCAGTTGCCAGTCTACCTTGCCACAAAAGAACATTTTAAGATGGACCTTTACACAATCCTCCCAGGTGGGAGGCCACACCAGCACCGCAGGACCGCAACAGTCAGACGCTTGCAGAGCCGAGTGTTTCCCCTAGCTACTCTCAAGCCACAATACCAGCACCGCTGGAATTACTATTTCTGGGTGGACACGGACTGCCGTAAGCTGAACTGCTGAGCACAGCCAAGATTTTAAGACTGGCAGTATTCTAGGGAGCAGCTCCATCAATGAAAATTAAAGCCTGGCAACCGAACCCTCCCAATTAATCGGCATTTGTTCAGCAAAGTCTCACAGCTCAGTCTGGCAGACATTAGTGAGCGTGCTCACAAGTGCAGCACATTTGGTTACATGAACAAGAATAGTCCAAACCTCGTAAGGCAAAAATTAAAGGGAAGCGTCAAAAGAAAAAAGTCACTCATCACACTGTATCGTCAAGAACCTCTGGACACGCACCCGGATGATGGTAGAGATGGTAAGCCGGTATTTACTCAGCCCCGCCCTGCTCGGCCTCGGGAGCGGACGTGTTCTCAGCTGGTGGTTCGGCTGTCTTCGTCTCTTTGCCATCTTGTGGTTTAGGGTTCTCTGGGCGTCTGCGTCGGTAGTTGAAGTTACGACGGTACCGACGTTGAGGTGGCTGCTGACTTTGGGTCTCATCCCCTTGGTTCTCTTTATCTTCTTCATTCCCATCCTCTCTAGGCTGTCTTTGACGAGGAGGACCCCTGAAAGTCAAGCTAGGTTTTAACAATGCAGCATCTGACCATCGCCATGTTCTGTCTCTGTTGCTAAAAGGTTAAAAAAAAAAAGTTGATCTGCAGCATACCTGCGAAATCGTGGTCTATAACCTCGATACATGTTCTGCCTGACTGGTCTGCCTTGTTCTCCTGCACCCTGGTTGTCAGCACCCTGGAAGACATTGGGCAACAAACCATCTTAGCCACACGCAAAAGTCCATTAACACCACAACTAGTCCAGCTGTGAGGAAGCCGGCTGTAAGGGGCTGTCAGGTCAAGTCTGCGGTGCACAACAAGGTGGACATCGGTCCTGGGGCACAAAAGTACACACCATTAGAATTTGTGCTTCTTCCAGTTAATCATACAGGAAGTTTCACAAATTCAAACACACTGTTTTTTTTAAAAGCTTCAGCTTATCAACATCTGCTCCAACATTTCACCCTACTGCCAAACCTTACCAAAAACCATCTTCAGTATCTACAAGAAGTGGCAAAAAGCTGCATCCCATCACCCCGCTCCAAAGCGATCAAGCCAGTTTAGCAAACATTACCTCCACTATCTCTCCCTGCACGGGAGGGTTGGAATATTGTGGTCGACGCCCGTAGGGCCTACGCATATAGTAAGGTGGGTACCGCCGCCTGCGATACGGACGGCGTTGCTGGGCTTGACCTTCTGGTATGTTCTCTGCTCCTTCATTCTTTTCCCCACTCTCACTATTCTGGTAGTTTTGCTGGTAGTTGCGTGGAGGACCCCTACGACGTGGATATCGTCTGTAATGGTTACGGTCTGCTGCGTATTTACTGCCTTGCACTGGAACTCCACCAGGACCTGTAACATTAGCTGCCTCCGCACCCTAAAGAGCAGGGATAGCAATAGGTCAGTCAGCATCAAATCACTTACAGCATAATATAATCCAGTGCCGAGCAACGATTTACATCCACATTGTAAAGCAACGAAAAACCATTCATCTCCTTGGATGTCATCAGGCATCGATTCAAACCACAGGCGCCACACCAAAGCCTGCAGACCACGTTTTCCGCGCGTACTCTAACACCAGAGAAATGTATTTACCTTTTCTCCCTCGACCACATCAAACTCCACGGTCTCTCCATCTCCTACGCTGCGGAGGTACTTCCTGGGGTTATTCTTCTTTATGGCAGTCTAACAACGTAACGTTGCAGAATTACATTTACAGGCACAGCACGAGAATGCTACTTAGCATATCTAAAGACGACTTTTTTTTTTTCTAAGATTAAGGAATTTGAGTATTTAGTATCTTAGGAGGAAGACCTGTACTCTTGAAAAAACAATGAAAACACTGAAGAGCCAGGTAGCCATAAAATCTACCTGTATTACTATAGTTCTGGCCTATTTGAAGCGTGCAACAGCTTTACCATTGACTGAAAAAGTCTGTCAACACGCTGCCTGCTAGCTGAAAAAGCAGTTTGAAAAACAAACCAACCCACAATACACACTGGCCATAGTATTCCTAACCAGAGTTTAGCATTAAACACCCCCACAGTATTTATACATTCCTCTGAGTTATATACATCAATACATCAGCCTTTCCAATCATGCACTCAGCTTTCCAGCCCTCTACCATTTCCCACACCACCACAGCGTGCAGCAGCCTACATAAACACATCGATGGCCAGAAACGAAGATACTTCCTTCTCCACGGCTTCCAATGCCACCGCTTCAGCCACAGCATTTACCAATTAATCACACATCTACTCTAGCTGTGTATGACGCGCCAAGGATCAGCTTCTAAGGCATCAGCACCAGACAAGCCTTTATATCGGTACCTGCACATTAAGTGACATTACTAGAAAACACTGAATTTTCTGTGCTATTCAGTAGTGGATTAAATTTCTGACAGATGAGTTATACTCAACATGCACCACCCTCAGCCACATTCTGCTTATCAAACACCCTCAC